TCGTTACTCTCCCATATAACAGTATCTGGTACTCTCCTACACCGGCACATAAAGGAAATGTGTTGTTACTCTCCCATATAACAGTATGTGATACTCTCCTATTCCAGCACATAAAGGAAATGTATCGTTACTCTCCCATATAACAGTATCTGATACTCTCCTATACCAGCACATAAAGGAAATGTATTGTTACTCTCCCATATTACAGTATCTGGTACTCTCCTATACCAGCACATAAAGGAAATGTATCGTTACTCTCCCATATAACAGTATCTGATACTCTCCTATACCAGCACATTAATGAAATGTATTGTTACTCTCCCATATAACAGTATCTGGTACTCTCCTATACCGGCACATAAAGGAAATGTATTGTTACTCTCCCATATAACAGTATCTGGTACTCTCCTATACCAGCACATAAAGGAAATGTATCATTACTCTCCCATATAACAGTATCTGGTACTGTCCTATACCAGCACATAAAGGAAACCTATTGTTACTCTCCCATATAACAGTATCTGGTACTCTCCTACACCGGCACATAAAGGAAATGTATTGTTACTCTCCATAAAACAGTATCTGATACTCTCCTACACCGGCACATAATGGAAATGTATCGTTACTCTCCCATATAACAGTATCTGGTACTCTCCTATACCAGCACATAAAGGAAATGTATTGTTACTCTCCCATATAACAGTATCTGGTACTCTCCTATACCAGCACATAAAGGAAATATATCGTTACTCTCCCATATAACAGTATCTGATACTCTCCTATACCAGCACATAAAGGAAATATATCGTTACTCTCCCATATAACAGTATCTGATACTCTCCTATACCAGCACATAAAGGAAATGTATCGTTACTCTCCCATATAACAGTATCTGGTACTCTCCGATACCAGCACATAAAGGAAATGTATCGTTACTCTCCCATATAACAGTATGTGGTACTCTCCTATACCAGCACATAAAGGAAATGTATCGTTACTCTCCCATATAACAGTATCTGGTACTCTCCTACACCGGCACATAAAGGATATGTACAGTTACTCTCCCATATAACAGTATCTGGTACTCTCCTATACCGGCACATAATGGAAATGTATCGTTACTCTCCCATATAACAGTATCTGGTACTCTCCTATACCGGCACATAAAGGAAATGTATCGTTACTCTCCCATATAACAGTATTTGGTACTCTCCGATACCAGCACATAAAGGAAATGTATCGTTACTCTCCCATATAACAGTATCTGGTACTCTCCTATACCAACACATAAAGGAAATGTATCGTTACTCTCCCATATAAAAGTATCTGGTACTCTCCTATACCAACACATAAAGGAAATGTATCGTTACTCTCCCATATAACAGTATCTGGTACTCTCCTATACCAGCACATAAAGGAAATGTATTGTTACTCTCCCATATAACAGTATCTGGTACTCTCCTACACCGGCACATAAAGGAAATGTATTGTTACTCTCCCATATAACAGTATCTGATACTCTCCTATACCAGCACATAAAGGAAATGTATTGTTACTCTCCCATATAACAGTATCTGGTACTCTCCTATACCGGCATATAAAGGAAATGTATTGTTACTCTCCCTTATAACAGTATCTGGTACTCTCTGATACCAGCACATAAAGGAAATGTATTGTTACTCTCCCATATAACAGTATCTGGTACTCTCCGATACCAGCACATAAAGGAAATCTACAGTTACTCTCCCATATAGCAGTATCTGATACTCTCCGATACCAGCACATAAAAGAAATGTATCGTTACTCTCCCATATAACAGTATCTGGTACTCTCCGATACCAGCACATAAAGGAAATCTACAGTTACTCTCCCATATAGCAGTATCTGATACTCTCCGATACCAGCACATAAAAGAAATGTATCGTTACTCTCCCATATAACAGTATCTGGTACTCTCCGATACCAGCACATAAAGGAAATCTACAGTTACTCTCCCATATAGCAGTATCTGATACTCTCCGATACCAGCACATAAAAGAAATGTATCGTTACTCTCCCATATAACAGTATCTGGTACTCTCCGATACCAGCACATAAAGGAAATCTACAGTTACTCTCCCATATAGCAGTATCTGATACTCTCCGATACCAGCACATAAAAGAAATGTATCGTTACTCTCCCATATAACAGTATCTGATACTCTCCTACACCAGCACATAAAGGAAACATATTGTTACTCTCCCATATCACAGTATCTGGTACTCTCCTATACAAGTATAGAAAGCAAATTGTTCCTACTCTCCTTACTAACAAAACAATGAAATGTTCATGTTACTCTCAAATAATAACTGGAAAATGCTCTGTTACTTTCTAGTACTAGCCCAAAAAAATGAAATGGCAGTGTTACTCTTCTATACAAACAGAAATGAGAAAAGGTTCTTCTCCTGTTAAATACGAACAGAAAAATGGAAATATTCCGTCTTCTACTCATAGAAAAGCAATAGAAAGGTTCTGTTACTCTTCTACTCTCTAAACTGAAATGCAGGAATATATTCTGGTACTTTACAATACTTACAGCAGAAATTGAAAAAATGTTACTATCTTATCTTAGCAGAAAAAGAAAAGTGTTTCCGAGAAAATTAACCGAGCAATGGCCTGCACCTTTACGACTCTGCCTGGGATGTGTCCATAATGATACTTGGACAATAAAAACATTAAAATGGTAATTAATGAGTAACTGTCTCATTCTTATATAAACATGAACATATATTTCCACGCTTGCCAACAGCCCCAAATTCAGCAGAACAGTCACAATTTTGGCCCCTGCTCCACCATAACTGGTTTTGTTCTGTGACTCACTTCTGGCCTGAGTGCCACAAATAAATGGCACAGCAACATCCTTGCTCTTCACCCTCCCATTCTGGCCTCACTGCTGCCTATTCAGCTCAATAAATGAAGGTGTGTAAATTTAACAAGACCTTTCATCAGATGCTGATATCTACACATTAATAAAATACAGAATATTGGGGGAGTTCCAGCTAAGATTGACAGCTTATTCATTGAACAGTGATCCAATTGGAGGACACAGAAAGGCATACAGACAGCCGGCCAAACAGGCTCTACCTGTGATGGCGAATCTAGTCTCTCCAGATGTTTCTACACTACATTTCCCATGATGCTTAGAAAATGAGCCATCTCTCTGCTCATACCAGTCATATATCTATCTATCTTGACATCATCCTGAATGAGGCACAGCATGGGTTATTCAGTAAAGTGGGAATTCTGAGGAATTCAGAGTGAATTTCCCATTTATGGCCAATAAATAGCTCTGCTAGTGCGAGGAGGATGAGTAGGGGTTAATTGTACGAGTGACAGTATTGAACAATAAAGACTGCACAGGTTTATATGGGCTCCCAGCCCAGACTCATCCTATTAAAATAATACATTGTTTAGGAGCCACACCTATAAATACTGTGCAGGAAAATAGCAGCTAATCATTAAGTCACAAAATGATCCACTACTATTAACTCTTCAAAGCCTTGCAGGCTTGAAGCTACCAGTACAGTGATATATTGCTTTCTTTCTTCCATTCTTCAATTCACCCATCCATCCAACTGTCCATCCATCAATCCATCCAACCAGACAATCCACCCAAATGTCTATCCATCAATCAGTCCAACCAACTGTCCATCCATTAATACATTCATCCATACATCCAACCATCCATCCATCCATTCACCCACCCAAGTGTCCATCCATCAATCCATCTGTTCATCCATCAAACCACCCATCTATCAATCCATCCAACCATCTATCAATCCATCCTTTGTTCCTTCCTTCCTTCCATCTATCCATCTGCCCATCCATCAAACCACCCATCCATCCATAAAGCTATCCAACTTTTTATCTATCCACCCTTCCTTTGTCCGTTCCTTCCATCCATCCATCCATCCGTCCATCAATCCATCCAACCATCCTTTCTTTCTTCCTCCCATCCATCCATCCGTCCATCAATCAATCCATCCATCATTTGTTCCTTCCATCTATCCCTACCTCCTACTCTCCCTCTTTCCATCCATCCACCCCTCTTCATTATATAAAAAATACTACTAGCAATGCAATTTGTCTTTAATGGTGTACAGAGATCTGATATGTCAACCTTAAGAGATGGATCCATAAAAGCTTGTGTGCCAAGTCATGCCCCCTCTTTGAGGTGATCAGTGAAACATTACTGGAACTCAAGACATTAAAAGTGCAAAACTGTGCAACAGAGGCTGGTATGCTTGTGATTGCTTATTATTATTATTATTTTTGTTATAATTTTTTATTTATTTATATTTTTCCAGCAAATTCCGTAGCGCTGTACAATGGGTGGACTAACAGACACGTAACTGTAACCAGACAAGTGGGCGCACAAGAACAGAGGGGTTGAGGACCCTGCTCAATGAGCTTACAGGACATAGAGGGACTGGAGTATAGTGAGACAAAGGGTAACGTTAGGAGTAATTGGAAGTGGTCAGTCAAACACATTTGACATTTAAATAATGAAATATATGTTTAAATATAAACCAGCTTTCCTTTTAAAGTGGTCCATTGTCGTTAGCCATCTCTTGTCCTGACCACGGACTGTTATCTCCTACAAGGACGACGACCTAGCAGTTTTTCTGGCTTTTGCAGTGTCTTTCCCTTCCTAACCCGCAAATTGTCAGCTTGTCTCCTTGCGGTGCCAAAATCCCACATCCTCTATAAAAGTAATTTTATGTCATTAAAACATGTTCCAATATATAAAGTAAGGGAGGGAGTAGGAGAGCTCGACCATAGCTTTTCTCCCAACCCGTACCTCTAATTAGCAATTAATTTTTAAACCTTAAAATCCACACTTGGTACACCTGTAATTTGAGGGGTGTGTAGCTTTTACATTACTACCCATTAGTGTTCCCAATCTATAAGGATGGTTGTGGCAATTTAGGGTGGGACAGAGGGGCGCAGGTTGGGGACAGGGGTGGGCCTGCACGCTGGAACATGTATAAATGGAGAGAGATGGTAATGGATAAGTCACAGATCAAAAAAGAGTAAAACCGAAGAGAACACAATACGGCAAGGAGTGTCTTCTTCAAAACAAACATGTTTAACCTCAAATCATCGCTGACACTGCTCCTGGTGACATGTCTCCACCTTCAGCTTGGCAGTAAGTGGATCTGTTGATTTAGTTTGTATTTATTCATTTTATTATTTTATAAAGAAACTATTTATACCACAGCTTTGCATTTTTCAGGATTTTCTGTTACAAGGGAATTAATTCCAGAATGTTTATTTAAAAAGTGTAAATTGTAAAAGATGAAGCTGTCACTATATCTGAGGATGTTGGTTACATTTAGCAATTTAGTGGGTGCAGGGGGATAGGGGCTGTAGTGGGTGCAGGGGCTGTAGTGGGTGCAGGGGGATAGAGGCTGTAGTGGGTGCAGGGGGATAGAGGCAGTGGGGATAGAGGCTGTGAGTGGTGCAGGGGATAGGGGCTGTAGTGGGTGAAGGGGGATAGGGGCTGTAGTGGGTGCACGGGATAGGGGCTGTAGTGGGTGCAGGGGATAGGGGCTGTAGTGGGTGCAGGGGGATAGGATAGTGGGTGCAGGGTGATAGGGGCTGTAGTGGGCGCAGGGGGATAGAGGCTGTAGTGGGGCAGGGGGATGAGGCTGGTAGGTGGGGATAGGGCTGCAGTGGGAGTAGGATGAGGCTGTAGTGGGTGGGGGGGGATAGAGGCAGTGTGTAGTGTGGTGAAGGAGATAGTAGTGGGTGCAGGGGATAGAGGGCAGGTGGTGGGATAGAGGGCAGGGGTAGGGGATAGAGGGTATAGGGAGGCTGTAGTGGGTGGGATAGGGGCTGTAGTGGGTGCAGGGGATAGGGGCTGTAGTGGTCAGGGGGATAGAGGTGCAGTTGCAGGGGAGGCTGAGGGCGCAGGGGATAGGGGGCTGTAGTGGGTGCAGGGGGATAGGGGCTGTAGTGGGTGCAGGGGGATAGAGGGTGTAGTGGGTGCAGGGGGTAGGATCTGCAGTGTGTGAAGGGTGTAGTATCTACAGTTAGTGCAGGGGGTAGGATCTGCAGTGTGTGCAAGGGGTAGGATCTGCAGTGAGTGCAGGGGGTAGGATCTACAGTGAGTGCAGGGGGTAGGATCTGCAGTGGATGCAGGGGGTAGGATCTGCAGTGTGTGCAAGGGGGTAGGATCTGCAGTGTGTGCAAGGGGGTAGGATCTGCAGTGAGTGCAGGGGGTAGGATCTGCAGTGGGTGCAGGGGGTAGGATCTGCAGTGGGTGCAAGGGGTAGGATCTGCAGTGGGTGCAAGGGGATGCAGGGGGTAGGATCTGCAGTGAGTGCAGGGGGTAGGATCTGCAGTGAGTGCAGGTAGGATCTGCAGTGAGTGCAGGGTAGGATCTGCAGTGGGTGCAGGGGTAGGATCTGCAGTGGGTGCAGGGGGTGGGATCTGCAGTGGGTGCGGGGTAGGATCTGCAGTGGGTGCAGGGGGTAGGATCTGCAGTGGGTGCAGGGGGTAGGATCTGCAGTGAGTGCAGGGGGTAGGATCTGCAGTGGATGCAGGGGGTAGGATCTGCAGTGCGTGCAAGGGGTAGGATCTGCAGTGGGTGCAGGGGGTAGGATCTGCAGTGTGTGCAGGGGGTAGGATCTACAGTGTGTGCAGGGGGTAGGATCTGCAGTGTGTGCAGGGGGTAGGATCTGCAGTGTGTGCAGGGGGTAGGATCTGCAGTGTGTGCAAGGGGTAGGATCTGCAGTGGGTGCAGGGGGTAGGATCGGGGCCAGACTGGGAATGAAAAGCAGCCCTGGAAACAAATTCTACACCAGCCCCATAATGCATCGCGCCGGCATAGTGTGCAGATATGGAAGCGGGAAAAAAACTGAAAACGATCACTCAAACGTGAAAGAAAGCTCTCATAGGGCTTCAAAATAAACACAAGAGAGGATTTATTGTAAGCAGACGTGCATTTGCATATAACCAATGCTTCAGCCCAACTACCTTGACATATTAAGGAAATTGTGAATGTATTGCACAGCAGGTTATCTCGCTCATTTTGCTCAGAGTGTGTCAATGCCAATTCAATTCCCATAGTTAAGCATTGGGAGGCTATTGCGCCTGTGGGGGAAAATGCTGCGCTTCATCGCACCAATCAGCATCTCCTCATACTATGGGGAGCGATCAGCGCCTCCATGCAGAGTGTGCAGCACCAGACTAGGAAGCATCTCTAGTGGCCGTCTGAGTGACTGCCACTAGAGACGTTCCGAGTGTCAGCAATGTAAACACTGCCTTTTCTCTGAAAAGATAGCATTTACAATGCTCAGCCTACAGGGACAGGCTATAGACACCAGAACCACTACATTAAACTGTAATAGTTCTGGTGACTAAAGTGTCCCTTTAATACAACGTCTTTCTCTTACCGACTCTAAATTACAGGGAGAGCAGGAGACACAAGTGAAGATGCATTTTGTTTGTGTCTTTCTCCCCCAAGCCCGTTTCCTGTGTCTCTTAGTCCCAGCCCCTTTGTCTCTTTCTCCCCTTCCCCAGCCCTTCTGTTAGTCTCTTTCCCCACAGCTCCTGTGTGTGTCTCATTCTCCCCTTCCCCAGTCCCTGTGTGTGTCTCATTCTCCCCTTCCCCAGTCCCTCTGTGTGTCTCATTCTCCCCTTCCCCAGTCCCTCTGTGTGTCTCATTCTCCCCTTCCCCAGTCCCTGTGTGTGTCTCATTCTCCCCTTCCCCAGTCCCTCTGTGTGTCTCATTCTCCCCTTCCCCAGTCCCTGTGTGTGTCTCATTCTCCCCTTCCCCAGTCCCTGTGTGTGTCTCATTCTCCCCTTCCCCAGTCCCTGTGTGTGTCTCATTCTCCCCTTCCCCAGTTCCTCTGTGTGTCTCATTCTCCCCTTCCCCAGTCCCTCTGTGTGTCTCATTCTCCCCTTCCCCAGTCCCTCTGTGTGTCTCATTCTCCCCTTCCCCAGTCCCTCTGTGTGTCTCATTCTCCCCTTCCCCAGTCCCTCTGTGTGTCTTTTGTTGTCTCATTCTCCCCTTCCCCAGTCCCTCTGTGTGTCTTTTGTTGGTATTTCTCAGCCCCTCTGTGTGTCTCTTTCTCCCCAGACCTCCATGTGTCTTATTAGCACCCAGCCCTCCATGTGTCCTATTAGCCCCCTCTCCCAGCCCTCTATGTGTCCTATTAGCCCCCTCTCCCAGGCTCCATGTGTCCTATTAGCCCCCTCTCCCAGCCCTCCATGTGTCCTATTAGCCCCCTCTCCCAGGCTCCATGTGTCCTATTAGCCCCCTCTCTCAGCCCTCCATGTGTCTATAGTGAGCGCAGGGGGATAGGGGCTGTACTGTATGCAGGGGACTGTAGTAAATACTTGGAGATAAGGGCCATAGTGGGTGCAGTGGAGTAATAGTTGTAGTGGGTGAAATTGTCCCCTTTGCTACCTATGCTCACTGCTCCTTTTTGTGTCCCTATGTCACCCCAGCAGAGGGAAGGACAGACTCAATGTACCCATTGTCTGTGTCACTGTACACACTCTTTACTGTATTTACTGAAAGAGAAAATTGGGAATTGCAAGTCTTATTATGAAATTGCCATGAAAAAAATAAAATAAAATAGCTGAATTGAAGACTTTCTATTTTTACAGATTCAGCCCCATTCGATACAGTTAGAGAGCCCCTGGAACCTCATTTACACTTACATCATAACGGCAATGCTGGTAAGTCGTGTTCTCTGTTAATCTCCACCTTTCGCTGTGTGAGGAACATTACTGTTAGTGAGACAATTTACACCGCCCATGGATAATTACTATCGCCGTACAGCCAGCTTAGCTTCCATTTAACAATTAAGCATCAGGTTCAAACCAAACTGCAAAACAATTGGAGTGGAAGATGTTTTCCCCATTTATTGTAGATTGGGTTAAATGTTGCCATCGTAGCGTGAAGCAGAATAAACCCCAATGAATTCCCATTATTGTTCCATTAAATAGTTTGCACTTATTACTAGGGTTCAGGTTCAATTAAACTCGAAGAGGTAAACAGCTGATCCCTAGTGTAACAGTCACCAGGGAACTTAGGGAACAGTCCACCAGGAGTTGGAGCCCAGTTGCAGGAGATGGCACAGGAAGGAGGCAACATCCAGAAGCGCAGTACAGATTAACGGGGAATCCAAAGTCAGGGCTGGCAGTCAGTAGCAAATCAAAGCTCCAGCAGGAAAAAACAAACAGGCTAAATGACCAGATACCAGGTTTCAGGCAGGGCTGGTTTTCACAGCCTGCTAATTAGGTGCAGCTGACCCTAATCGGAAAAGGGCTGCAGGTGGATCAGTGCTGCTTAATCCAGGGCAAATTGGTCAGGAAGCAGAAATAGGCAAACAGAAACTCCTGCCCCCTGGTGGACGTCATGGCGGAGAACCTCACTGGGATGCTTGAGCAGTGAGTTCAAACCCAGCCAGGGGCAGTCATGCCTTGCTGTCTGCAGGGCCCGGGCTGTGCCATGACACCTAGCTAATTCTCAGCCTTTCAGCCATAGTGAATGCTCACTGCACCCCTATTTACAATTCATTATCCTCTCCAATCCCTGGGGTCAGCCAGCTGGGGTAACAATAGAGTTAAAGCAGGAATGGGGGAAACTTGTAACATAATTAAAAAACACTTATTGGGGTTTAATTATGGGCTCTGATACACTGATAAAATGCTGCAAAAAACAACTAATTGTATCCCCACAGCACAAATAACCATTTATTACATACAAACAGCATGATCATTATAAAAAAAATACTACTACTCGTGTTGGAGTCCCAAATCTACGGCAACCTTTTCATCAATCAGAGAGATAATAAAATAAATCAATATAGTGCTCGTGTCTGCAGCACGCCAGCAAACGCCATTCATCACACGAAAAGCAGTGTTTTCGTTAGAATAATCATTGCCTGCAGCGGGAGCTTGTTGCGGAATTGTGTAAAAAAAAAAAATGTTCTTTTACACAGCGCTTTGTATGATATATGGAAACTGGGGTACTTAAGAGTTTGTAGTTAATTTACTCAATGTTTACATAAAATTATGCAATACACTATCATCTGTCTATCTATCGGTCTATCTATCATCTATCTGTATGTCTATTTATCTATACTCTATCTGTCTGTCTGTCTATCTCTCCACCTGTTTTCTATCAAACCATCTGTCTGTCTGTCTGTCTATCTGTCTGAAGACTTTCTATTTTTACAGATTCAGCCCCATTCGATACAGTTAAAGAGCCCCTGGAACCTCATTTACACTTAAATCATAACGACAATGTTGGTAAGTTGTGTTCTCTATTAATCTCCACCTTTCGCTGTGTGAGGAACATTACTGTTAGTGAGACAATTTACACCGCCCATGGATAATTACTATCGCCATATCTATCTAATACCTATCTATCTATCTATCTATCTATCTATCTATCTATATATCTATATATCTATATGTCTGTCTGTCTATCTATCTATCTATCTATCTATCAGTCTATATATCTATCTATATAGTATCTATCTGTCTGTCCGTCTATCTATCTATTTGTCTGTCTGTCTATCTCTTTACTTATCTGTCTTCTATCAAACCATCTGTCTATCTGTCTGTCTGTCTATCTAATCTTTCGTGAACACTTCATTTACAAACGTACATTTTATTGATACAGAAAATGCAGCCGGAGGGAACCTGGCCCACGTTACCCCCAAACCAGGCAATGCTTCTACAAATGCTGTTACCCACTTCGCAGGTAGGTTTGCTCTGTGGATTTCATAAAGTGCATTTACTTCCCAAGACCCCCAATAACATGATGAATAATGTAGGTTGGGGTATTTTTCCCCAAATATGACTTATTCGTTTAGCCCGCCCTTTACGCCCCATACATTCCTTTCTGTAGTGTTTCTATTTTTGGTCAACTCCAATAATAGCGCTGTCGTGATGTCATGACTTGGGTTTCTGGGAGTTGTAGTTCAGCTGTTAGATTTCTACAGCAAACAGCTGACAATTCTACTACAGCTCCCAGAAACCCCTGATTTGCCCATAATGCAATGCTATCAGAAAATAAATAAAAAGGATAATCCTGCATAGCCTGGAACTTCAAATGTATCTTTTATAATTATTTTATTTTTATTGTCTCTATATATAATATATTTAAAACCAGCATGTCTGATCCAGCCTGCTGTAACTCAATGACCTCAGTGTAGACAGGGATAGGTACATACAGTGTATAGGCCATCCCATACCTACCAATATGCATGAGTTTCAGTGCAGTAAGTCACGATGTTCTCGTGTTACATAATCTCTGACAGAAAACACAAACACTGGATCAGCAGTAACGTCAATTCCTAATCCAGCCAATGGAGAGTCGTTCTGAGCCCTGATACCTGCAGTTTGTATCAACACTAGACATTTCACATTTAGTCTTATCTTCCAAGTCCCTCAGGATGCTGAGCGTATGAATGAATAGAAAATGATCCCTTGTTGTTATGGAAGAGCCGAGGGATTGTGGCGAGCCATTAGTGGACTCACAAATTATAAAAAAAACACTCAAATGTCTCTACAAGATCAGCCAATACTGACCAACAGACACGGGCCGTTTCTGAATGTCCATTGTTTTCTCTTGCTACAGGAACTGCAAACACAACCGCAGGACCGGCTGGAACAGTCAGCTCCTCCGTAGGTTCAGCGAGTGGTGAGTCAATCAGAATTTCTAACATCTATTTGTTGCCTTTCTTTTGTTGTAAATGTGTTAAATAACATTGCAAGAATGACAGATTATTTGCCTCTATTCACTTCATTCTGTGGGTAACAGCTCGAGTGTGAGATTTTCTGGGACCTACTGCCTGTGACAATGACATGGATAATTAGGGAGCTCAAGTTAGTTGACATAGGCCAAGACAGGGTGAAAAAGCAGCAATAGTGCTCTTTACCCACTTCAGAGCTGCTCAGGTCACCTGTAAGGTTGTACCGGGTAGGACAGAATGGATCATGAATGCAGGTTAAACTGTATTGCAGTTCATATAAAATAGCTTATCTCTTACCAACACAAGGCCTGTTATAATACAAAAGGGCCTTCGAGGGACTGCCACGGGGTCTGTAAAAGGGTTTTCCTAACTCTTATCCTCTAATTCCCATTATACTGAACAATGGGATTTGCAGTCCAACATTAACTGGAAATTGATCGTTGATACATTGTGCCTTCCAACATTGATGAAGCATTGTCAGGCCCACTTACAGATATATCAAAGTGATAGATAGGGAAAAAAAGGATGACAAACATGTGTATATCGTTTGCTAAGTCTTTGTTGTGTTTATCTGTTGTACGAACAGTTTCTCTATTCTTTTTTTTAGGGGCTACAAATGTGACATCTTCCACAGTAACTACCAGGGCTGCAAATCCAGTCACTGTTGCAGCAGGTGAGCTGATAATCTTTGAACGTTTGTAAAGTGATTGGCGCTTCGCAAAGGGACTATATTATATATTTAAAAACATTTTCCCTATAATTGGGGTAGTTAAATATTGAACACCTTGCTGCAGCCCCCATGTGCCTGGCTTAGGTTAACAAGAGCTGTGGGTAGCTTGGCAGTTTGATTCTTGAATTTGCTTGGATTTCAATAATTGATTTAATCTGTAATTGACTTTTAGGTTCTGCCGCCCCCAAAAGCAATCCTGCTGCAGGTGTCACCCCAAGAGCTGACAATCTAGTGCCCACAGCCAGTCATGCCACTCTTGGTAAGTCTGAATGATCACGTAGTATATTCTAAAACCCATTTTTGTTTTAATATCTTTTCTTTTAATTAGTATTATATTTTTCTCAAGCAGTTTTGTCTAGTTCGGCATGGCCAGCCTTTCTTCACTTCGCAATGGGAGACAATCCAACAGCTATATGTAAACATAATCTAGAGAGGATCGAGGCACAATCATATTAACAGAAATATTTACATTGATGGAAATTGCACGAATGAGCAAAGAGATGTTTTAAGTCGTGCAATTTGTTGTATCAAAAAACCCATAAACGATAAACCAAAAAATGTCCTGTACTACACGCCATATATTTAAATCAACTCACCGGTACGATACATTTAATTCAACTTTATTAAAAGCAGTGACAATAATTCACACATATTAAAAGACAAAGAGAACCGCAACAAATCTTAGCATTTCGCCAAATCGTCTCAGTCATAGATAACAAATAACGAAGTGAGATTGATTTTCACAATATTAAATTTTAACTCAAACCCGAAATGATTCATAGCAAATCTCTGTAAAGTCTCAATTAAAACAAAAAATGATTTGTGAATAGTCCAAGTGATAGACTTGAAAAAAGGAATAGAGAAACTGTTTGAATTTAGTCCGAGTGGCAAATTGTCCGATTTCTCTAACTAAGGACACGTAACTCAATAAACGACTCGCACAATACAATTGGGATCGGAGTTATGACCATATTTCTGCTTCAATGTTACAATTTGGCTTTCCCATTCACTACAATTACCGGTTAAAGGACAACTGACATCACATTTTCACTTCTTACTTTTAAATGTTTTCTACCTGTAATGGAACTTAATAAGGATTTTTTGAAAATTATGTATTTGGTTTTTGGTTTGTTTTTTTGGGAAGAGAATGTCACTTTTTACCTGGCTGAGCAGCCATGTTTGTTTAGACTCTCCTGTTTTCTGACCAACTGCTGCTCAACCTCACTGGCTGCGGCTGTGATTGCTCTGTGTGAACCTGTAGCAACAGCAAGTTAGGTTGAGTAACAATTGGTCCGTAAATGGTAGAATCTGACCCAACATGGCCGCTCAGCCGCATAACATTTTCTCAAAAATCTAATCAATATACAACATTTAAAAATAAACATTACATTTCATTAAATATAATACAATTTAAAAAAAAATGAAAAGTGAAAATGTGATGATAGCTGTCATTTAACTGAATAAAATGTTAATTTGAGAAATTAAACTCTTTCCTAATCTCCCAGCTGGGGCTCCAGGAATCACTCATCCTATCGTGAGCGCTGTTACTGGAGGTAAGAAAAGACGCCATAATCGTTATTAGTAGTATTGCTGTCACTAGTATAAATAATATTGAAAAACATATGTTTTAGTAAAATATGAAGAAGGAGCCTGATAAAAAATATACAGATCTGGCGGAGATGTTCTGCGAGTTACCACGATGCAGTAAGACACAGAATGTTGTAGATCTGATGTGATGGGCTGGACAGTAACCCCTGCCTGGTCCGTTAATCTAAAAGCTTTGCTAACAAATATTAAAAATGAGGAAATGGCAATGAAAGCCACTGGTTAACATGATAATTAGAAATATGCAGACTATGCAGAACATCATCAGGTGCCTTATTGGGAGATTCCAATTAAAATGCAACTGGGACTTCCTGACAAAATGTCATACTGAGTTTAATATATATCACATAATTACTTCTGAAGGATTCTGACCTAGTGAAACATCTCCTGCAATATATATGGTTACCACTGGGTGGCAGTCTCACACTCCTTTAAATGGCAAATAGTATGAGAGTCACCTTGTACTGGGCATCCTTCATGCCAGAGGAACCATGATAGGGTGGTTTGTAATGACAGGGTTAATGAGATTGTATTCCTAAATACAAGGCAAAGATTCCCTGTAACGAGGAACAAGTATACACTTTGCAATGTTACAATATTATGTTTTATGTTAATGCATTATTTTGGGGGGATTTAACAACACAGGAACCAAGGTTGGAGATGTTCATATTCCTGGACTCAGTCCCTGCCCAGATCACTGCCCTAATGGTGAGTTCCAAGAGCTTGCACTCTATATCACCCGTGCCCGTGAGCTAGTCGCCCTGGAGATTTCTGTGTAGAAATACATGCTATTTCTGGGACTGATCTTACCCACACACGGTCTGAGTTAGACAGATACGGGTCTCATGTGATGTCACTATGGCCTCATTCAGGATCTGCCCGTTTCAATTACAGTCATTAAATGACACAAGTGCGGTACATTTAACATTAAGTGACACAGTTTGACTGTCTGAGATGGAGAGTGTGATTAATGCAAATTACACGGATCCTTTCATTTTAATCAGTACACAAGGATGTACTCTGCACATTATAAATGGAAATTCGATTGTGCAGCTAAAGGGACTCTGACATCCTTCTACATGTTAGAAAGAAGGAACCTATCAGGTAGGTGAGCAAATATAATCCATAGTTTGCGTTGGCAAAATTGTTAACACATGCACCATTTAAAAATACAACCTAGTTATATAAAGATTGTGGCTACATCCGCCCACCATTTTGGTAGGTTTGTATTAATTTGGCGCCAGGGCAGAGGAAGCGTGGATTTTATTATTTAATCTAAAAAGACTCTAAATGTCTGCTAGCTTTTTGGCTAGTCATATTTAGCCCAAAGTATATGTATTCTATTATATGACAGTTTTATAATATTACCATAATAATAACATTTATAGCATGAAGGAAGATAACGGAACTCTCATAAACTTTTTTGGTAATTTTATTTTGTATAAAAAGGCTACCACTACTAATAATTAATAATAATAATAATAATAATAATAATAAACAGTGATATCACCTGCAGGGAGGACAGACGCAGATGGGATCAATATATTAAATACTAATAATCTCACACATTGCTGGTGACTATATACAATATATATTTCTTACAGGAATAGCTGGAAATCCCCCATGTGTATGTGTTAACGCAGTCCAAGGTCTGAAAGGTAAGTATGACAGCACAAGCATCGCTCGTTACAGTGCTGTGTTATGTGTCACTCAAAAACATATGGTTATTGTCAAGAGGGGAATTAGTTAGAATGTTAAAATTAGATTATTAGTTATGGGGAGTTTAGTTCTGGAGAATGGGGTTTATGACTAAAAGTAGGGTTTAGGGATAGAGGAACTTACAGCAAAGGATAGAGGAGTCAGGGGAAGTGGACATTGGAGAAATTAGGGTTAGTGTAGTTTAGACCTAGGAGAGATATGGTTAGGGGAGGTTAGAGCTGGGAGAGATAGGGTTAGGAGAGGTTAGAGCTGGGAGAGATAGGGTTAGGAGAGGTTAGAGTTGGGAGAGATAGAGTTAGGGGAGGTTAGAGTTGGGAGAGATAGGGTTAGGGAAGGTTAGAACCAAGAGAGATAGGGTTAGGGAAGGTTAGAGCTAGGAGAGATAGGGTTAGGGGAGGTTAGAGCTGGGAGAGATATGGTTAGGGGAGGTTAGAGCTGGGAGAGATAGGGTTAGGAGAGGTTAGAGCTGGGAGAGATAGGGTTAGGAGAGGTTAGAGTTGGGAGAGATAGAGTTAGGGGAGGTTAGAGTTGGGAGAGATAGGGTTAGGGAAGGTTAGAACCAAGAGAGATAGGGTTAGGGAAGGTTAGAGCTAGGAGAGATAGGGTTAGGGGAGGTTAGAGCTGGGAGAGATAGGGTTAGGGGAGGTTAGAGTTGGGAGAGATAGGGTTAGGGGAGGTTAGAGGTGAGAGAGATAGGGTTAGGGAAGGTTAGAGCTATGAGAGATAGGGTTAGGGAAGGTTAGAGCTAGGAGAGATAGGGTTAGGGGAGCTTAGAGTTGGGAGAGATAGAGTTAGGGGAGGTTAGAGTTGGGAGAGATAGTGTTAGGAGAGGTTAGAGCTGAGAGGGAATAAGTAGGGGGAGTTGGGAGCTATGAGAGATAGGTTGGGGAGGTTGGAAGCTGAAGGGGAGATAGGGTTAGGGGAGGTTAGAGCTGGGAGAGATAGGGTTAGGGGAGGTTAGAGTTGGGAGAGATAGGGTTAGGAGAGGTTAGAGCTGGGAGAGATAGGGTTAGGGGAGGTTAGAGTTGGGAGAGATAGGGTTAGGGGAGGTTAGATCTGGGAGAGATAGGGTTAGGGGAGGTTAGAGCTGGGAGAGATAGGGTTAGGGGAGGTTAGAGTTGGGAGAGATAGGGTAGGGGAGGTTAGAGCTGGGAGAGATACGGTTAGGAGAGGTTAGAGTTGGGAGATATAGGGTTAGGGGAGGTTAGAGCTGGAGGTTAGGAGAGGTTGAAGCTGGGAGAGACTAGGGTTGGAGAGGTTAGAGTTGGGAGATGGTTTCTGGGGTTAGGGAGGTTAGAAGGCTGAGAGAGATAGGGTTAGGGAAGGTTAGAGCTATGAGAGATAGGGTTAGGGAAGGTTAGAGCTAGGAGAGATAGGGTTAGGGGAGCTTAGAGTTGGGAGAGATAGAGTTAGGGGAGGTTAGAGTTGGGAGAGATAGGGTTAGGAGAGGTTAGAGCTGAGAGAGATAGGGTTAGGGGAGGTTAGAGCTGAGAGAGATAGGGTTAGGGGAGGTTAGAACCAAGAGAGATAGGGTTAGGGAAGGTTAGAGCTGGGAGAGATAGGGTTAGGGGAGGTTAGAGCTATGAGAGATAGGGTTAGAGCTATGAGAGATAGGGTTAGGGGAGGTTTGAGCTGGGAGAGATAGGGTTAGGGGAGGTTAGAGCTATGAGAGATAGGGTTAGGGGAGGTTAGAACCAAGAGAGATATGGTTAGGGGAGGTTTGAGCTGGGAGAGATAGGGTTAGGGGAGGTTTGAGCTGGGAGAGATAGGGTTAGGGGAGGTTAGAGCTGAGAGAGATAGGGTTAGGGGAGGTTTGAGCTGGGAGAGATAGGGTTAGGGGAGGTTAGAGCTGGGAGAGATAGGGTTATTGGAGGTTAGAGCTATGAAAGATAAGGTTAGGGGAGGTTAGAGCTGGGAGAGATAGGGTTAGGGGAGTTAATAGTTAGGAGAGATACGGTTAGGGGAGGTTAGGGCTATGAGAGATAGGGTTAGGGGAGTTAATAGTTAGAAGATATAGAGTTAGGGGATTTAATAGTTAGGAGAGATAGGGTTAGGGGAGATTAGAGCTGGAGAGATTTGGTAGGTGGGTTACCTCCAATAAAATTTATGTTAATCATAATCCACATCATGAGATAATTAGAGTTGCACTGACCATGAAGGTTAGGTGGTTACAGTGTGTGGTAAACACAATCTACAATGTTGCCCGCCATTATAAATCTAGCTGTAGAGTTCATTACCCTGTGAAGGTTTCATTCATGTTTACATTACAGCCATATAACTAAATGAACTGCTAAATAAGAGTTTGATTTCCTGATTATTATTGGTCCATGACGCAGTGCGCAATTAACATGCTCTCTCTATCTCTGGTTCTGTAGGCCCCTCAGTGAAAGACGATTAATCTGCAGAAGATTCCAATTTATTGTCAGTTAAACAGGTCAGTTCCTCTGGAAATGCTTAATTCTAGGGAGAGATGTCTTACAGCAAACTTCTAAAAGTTCTTACTGAGGGATAATCAACATTGAAACCAGTATGTACTTGTTACAACTTTGTATCGTGCCACTGTTATATAGCTGTCCTTATGTCTCAGTGTTAGTGCGTATCGTTTCAATACTACTCAAAACAAAGTATAAATATTTGCATACTATATAGCCGCGACCTACTCCCCCATGGCATTAACTGTGAACACCACAAGTTATTAACCAGATGTATCTAGAAGATTCTGTGCCTATTCTGGAACTACTTCTATTCAGCTGTAGGCTCCTCTGTTAGGAGATATCCTCAGGCATTACAAGTTGCTGGGGATATTTTCTAGTAGTGCGTTGTATTTCAGCAGCACAGGTAGACCAGAGAGAAATATAAAAACAGAGAATAGTGCTCTCTATCTGGATAAATAGGAAATAAAAAGGATAAAGGAGATATACTCACAAAAGGAGAGTAAAGTGAAGTTTTGCCCAATCCTGTAAAGCTTAGGTGGTATCTTCCCCATCTAGGAAATTGAAGTATGGGGTCCTCCAGGTAAAATCTTCTGAGATAAAATCAGGAAGGTCCAAATAAAGTAAAAACTAGTTTTATTAGTAAACAAAATAATAAAATCAATAATATAATGTAAAACACCAATAACACACTAACGCGTTTCACCATCTACTCGGCTTTCTCAAAGTGTTACAGAGATAAGGACCTATCAGGTCTAAGTAGCCAAAAAAATCTAATAAAACAGTCAGATGATGTCATCAGTCATGTGATCAGAAATATTAATTAGCTTCAAAATATCAAATAATTTAAAATTTGAGATGAAGATAGAATGAACCTGTTCTAATAAAGTAGGTAATGTGACTTTAAAATGACATGTAGTATAAAAAACACCTTAAAATCAATTTTAAAAATGGGGTTGTAGATAGCTTTAATAAGGAGTCCCAATATGGCCACGGTGGCCATCCATTCACCATGTCTTTAATAAGGAGTCCCAATATGGCCAGAGTGGCCATCCATCCATCATGTCTTTAATAAGGAGTCCCAATTTGGCCAGAGTGGCCATCCATCATGTCTTTAAAAAGTAGTCCCAATATGGCCACGGTGGCCATCCATCCATCATGTCTTTAATAAGGAGTCCCAATATGGCCACGGTGGCCATCCATCCATCATGTCATTAATAAGGAGTACCAATATGACCACCATGGCCATCCATCCATCATGTCTTTAATAAGGAGTCCCAATATGGCCACCGCGGCCATCCATCCATCATGTCTTTAATAAGGAGTCCCAATATGGCCACAGTGGCCATCCATCCATCATCTCTTTAATAAGGAGTCCCAATATGGCCACAGTGGCCATCCATCCATCATTTCTTTAATAAGGAGTCCCAATATGGCCACGGTGGCCATCCATCCATCATGTCTTTAATAAGGAGACCCAATATGGCCACCGTGGCCATCCATCCATCATGTCTTTAATAAGGAGACCCAATATGGCCACCGTGGCCATCCATCCATCATGTCTTTAATAAGGAGTCCCAATATGGCCACCGCGTTTTTAATAAGGAGTCCCAATATGGCCACGGTGGCCATCCATCCATCATGTCTTTAATAAGGAGTCCCAATATGGCCACGGTGGCCATCCATCCATCATGTAATTATATGTTTGTTGTTTTGCATTAAAATTAATATTGTATGTTTTTTTGTTTTATTTTAGCCATAACTTTGGACGGATCCTCCACGGAGCTACGTACACACAGTGACCTCACGCCCTGCACCCAGGGACTCGCACTACATTAAATAAAGTCTGACATCTTTTAGCATAAACATCTGTGTGTGTGTGTCTTGTGTCCTGCGCTGTGCGTACAATATAGGAGATTTGTCTCCAAACTGATTATTGAATCCACGCCCAATATAAATCGTGCATTTGCTTAAAATTGACTTTCTTCCTCCCCTGCTATAAACAGCAAATCTGTAACAACAGGTTAATGTGTTTGTCTATATTTAATTATTTTCCCAGCATCCATTGCTAAAGGATAAGTTGCGCAATAACAGTTTTACACAATTACATAGAATTCCTGGTAACAAAGTTCTCTCTGTGTTAGACAAACAGCCAAGTGTGCACATTCTCCAGTCTCTCCAATGTTTTGGACGTCATGTTCTTGCCCTAAACATTAAAAATGCTTTTCACACTGACACTGCCACCTCAGCTGGAAAACCACTCCAGGTATCTACAACCTTCTAAGCAAAAAAGTTCTGTGTTGTTATGTTTTAAGGCTTTAATTTAAAACAAAGGCCCTGGTTTTCACTAGAGCTGCCCAAGCTTTATTACACCCTGAATATATTAGAATGTTTCTCTCCAACCTCTCCCCCTCTCACAGCAAGTCCTCAGACGGGAGAAACGCTTTATTATTCCGCATGGAGTGAGCTATGTGGAGGCAAACTGTGTATTAATGTGTTTCGTTGTTTTATTGTAAGTGTGTAGAATCTATTATCTATCTAGAAGATAGCTGGTGCGTTTGTCATGGCATTCTCTTAACATTAACCCCGAGGCAGAGCGTCTGTACGAACAGAGCTCATAATTACAGGAGTGGCAAAAAACAATCACACAGAGATACAAAATACAACTATAAACAGTCTATCATACAAAATACTGTATTTTATCAACAACAGATCTATCCATCTGTATCTATCTATCTATCTGTCTATCTATCTATCTAGCCATCTCTCTATCTCTCTGTCTATCTATATATCTATTATCTATCTATCTATATTGTCTATCTATCAATCCATCTCTCTATCTCTCTGTCTATCTATATATCTATTATCTATCTATCTATATTGTCTATCTATCTATCTATCTATCTATCTATCTATACAGAATATATCTATCTATCTATATATCTATCTATCTATCTATCCATCTCTCTATCTCTCTGTCTATCTATATATCTATCTATCTATCTATCTATCTATCTATCTATTATCTATCTATCTATCTATTAGCTATCTATCTATATTGTCTATCTATCTATCCATCTCTCTATCTCTCTGTTTATCTATCTATTTTTCTATCAATCTATCTATCTATCTTGTCTATCTATCTACCCATCTCTCTATCTCTCTGTCTATCCATCTCTCTATCTCTCTGTCTATCGATAATAGATAGATAGACAGAGAGATAGATAGATAGATAGATATATCTATCTATCTATCTATCTATCTATCTCTCTGTCTATCTATCTATTATCGATCTATCTATCTATCTATCTATCATCGATCTATCTATATATCTATCTATCTATCTATCTTGTCTATCTATCTATTATCTATCTATCTATCTATCTATCTATCTATCTATCTATCTACCTATCCATCTCTCTATCTCTCTGTCTATCTATCTATCTATATTGTCTATCTATCTATCCATCTCTCTATCTCTCTGTCTATCTATCTATCTATCTATCTATCTATCTATCTCTCTGTCTATCTATTATCGATCTATCTATATATCTATCTATCTATCTATCTATCTATTATCGATCGATCTATCTATCTATCTTGTCTATCTATCTATCTATCTATTATCTATCTATCTATCTATCTATATTGTCTATCTATCAATCCATCTCTCTATCTCTCTGTCTATCTATCTATCTATATATCTATTATCGATCTATCTATATATATATATCTATCTATCTATCTATCTATACAGAATATATCTATCTATCTATCTATCTATCTATCCATCTCTCTATCTCTCTGTCTATCTATATATCTATCTATCTATCTATCTATCTATTATCGATCTATCTATCTATCTATCTATATTGTCTATATATCTATATATCCATCTCTCTATCTCTCTGTCTATCTATCAATCCATCTCTCTATCTCTCTGTCTATCTATCTATCTATCTATCTATCTATCTATCTATATTGTCTATATATCTATATATCCATCTCTCTATCTCTCTGTCTATCTATCTATCTATCTATATATATTATCTATCTACCTATCTACACACACTGCATACACTAATAAAACACACTGCATACACCAATACAACACACACTGCATACACTAACACAAACTCTGCATACACTAATATAACACACACACATTGCATACACTAATACAACACTAATACAACACACACTCTGCATACACTAATACAATATACCTCTCCTTCAAGCCTCATGTTCAGTCTATTGCCAAATCCTGTCATTTCCATTTCAAAAACATTGCGCGCATCCGCCCCTATTTAACGCCAGATGCGACTAAGGTGTTGGTCCATTCCACTGTCCTTTCTCGCCTTGACTACTGTAATCCGCTTTTCAGTGGTCTTACGTGCTCCCAACTTGGGCCGTTACAGTCCATAATGAATGCGGCAGCGAGGCTCATCTTCCTGTCCGCCCGCACCTCCCATGCCTCACCCTTCTGTCAGTCCCTACATTGGCTTCCTATAAAATATAGAGCTCAATTTAAAATTCTGGTTCTTGCTTTCAAATCTCTACATAATGCTGCTCCCACCTATCTATCCTCCCTTATACACAAGTATGTCCCGTCTAGGCCCTTACGATCTGCTGAAGACTTACGTCTATCTTCTGTCCGTACTCCCACCTCTGATGCTCGCCTTCAAGATTTCTCGAGGGCTGCACTGTTCCTGTGGAACTCGCTTCCCTCCTCCGTTAGATGCTCACCCAGTCTCCACTCCTTCAAAAAATCGTTAAAAACCCACTTCTTCATAAAGCGTATCAATTAAACTGTTAATAGCTCCTAATTGATTCCTCTTCTGCAACTGTCACTAGTCTAATACTATCCTTACCTTTTGTGTCATTTTACCCCACTCCCTCTAGCATGTAAGCTCACTGAGCAGGGCCCTCAACCCCTCTGTTACTGTGTCACTATACCCCACTCCCTCTAACATGTAAACTCACTGAGCATGGCCCTCAATTCCTCTGTTACTGTGTCACTATACCCCACTCCCTCTAGCATGTAAGCTCACTGAGCAGGGCCCTCAACCCCTCTGTTACTGTCACTATTCCCCACTCCCTAGCATGTAAGATCATTGAGCAGGGCCCTCAACCCCTCTGTTCCTGTGTGTCCAACTTGTCTGGTTACAACTACATGTCTGTTCGTCCACCCATTGTAAAGCGCTGTGGAATTTGACGGCGCTCTATAAATATCATAATAATAATAATAATAATTAATATAACACACACACTGCATACACTAATATAACACACACTGCATACACTAATAAAACACAAACTCTGCATACACTAATACAACACACATTGCATACACTAATACAACACACACACCTCATACACTAATACAACACACACTGCATACACTAATACAACACACACTCTGCATACACTAATATAACACACACTCTGCATACACTAATATAACACACTCTGCATACACTAATACAACACACACTGCATACTCTATTACAACACACACACACTGCATACACTACCTGACACACGCTCTGCATACACTAGTACAACACACACTCTACATTCACTACACACTAACATACTCTCGGCATTCATTACACTGACACACACTCTGCATTCACTACACACTAACGCACACTCTGCATTCACTACACTAGCACACACTGCATTCCTTACACACTAGCACACACTCTGCATTGACTACACTAGGCACACACTCTGCATTTACTATACTGACACACACTCTGCATTAACTACACTGACACACACTCTGCATTAACTATACACACAGCATCCACTACACAAACATCCTGTATTCACAGTACACACACCACATCCACCACACATTGAAACACTCTGCATTCACTATACAGAGACACTGCGTCTAATACACACACTACATCCACTACAGACACTGCATCCACTAAACACCTTGCATATAGTACACACAAACACTACATCACTGTAAACACACTACATCCACTACTCAAACACACTCTGCGTTCACTGGATCTGCTACACAAACACACACTCTGCATTCACTGCACAAACAGTATCTAAAACACACAAACACTATACCATTACACAAATTCTAATTCACTTCCACTAGACACACCACATTCAGTCCTGCATCATTGTCAGTGGACTAGGTAGGGTGTGGGCGGGCCCAGGGGGGGAGGGGCCCCAGACCTTGTGCTTTGTCAGGGGCCCCAGAATTTCTCATGGCAGCCCTGTATAGCGCCATATAACTGGCCTTAAAATGACAAACTCCAACAATGCACTCTAACAGTCTTACAGACACTCCTTCCAAATTCCGTCACTCTGTTAGACAAACATTCACAGACAAACTCAGGCACTCTTACTAAAAACATGCTCACACTCGCTTTACAAATGCTCTCAGTGAAGCAATCGGACAAAGAGACACAGACACACTCAGAGACACTGAGACAGGCGCTGTTTCAGAAACACACAGACACTGTCACAGACAGACCCAGACTCTCTCACAGAGTCACACATAGTTAGTGAAACCCTCACAGATGCAGTCAGACTCAGTAACAGAAACTCTCACAGACAAATTACAGACACTCTCACAGACAGAGTCAGACACAGTTACAGACACTCTCACAGACAGAGTCAGACTCAGAGAAACTCTCACAAACAAAGTCAGACTCAGTTAAAGAAACTCTCACAGACGCAGTCAGACACAGTTACAGAAACTATTCACACACAGTTACAGACACTCGCACAGACAGAGTCACACACAGTTACAGACACTCGCACAGACAGAGTCACACACAGTTACAGACACTCGCACAGACAGAGTCAGACTCAGAGAAACTCTCACAAACAAAGTCAGACTCAGTTAAAGAAACTCTCACAGACGCAGTCAGACACAGTT